GTGTTTCCTGTATGCTCCATGCTGGAGTGCGTTTGTGGTCCTGGGCTGGTATGGTCAGCTGTGCTGGTGAGCTCTCCACACTCATCAAACAGGAAATGAAATTCAAAAGTTCTCCGGGCTTTTCCTGTGCACCTGGATGAAGTGCAATGGAGTTGAAAGTGCTGTCCAGAGCAGTCACATTGGAGCACTCTGGGATACCTCCTGGAGGCTAATCCCATCAGATTACACAGTGTTGTGTCTACACTACTCCTAATTCGACCCAGGAAGGTCAACTCTAGCACTTCTCCTCTCCCTGAGGTGGAGTACAGGCATTGATTTTACAAGCCCTTTGGGTTGGCGGAAAGGGCTCAGTAGTGTAGACACGCACATTATAAATTCGACCTAACGCGGCATATGTTGACCTAATGCTGTAGGGTAGACCAGTCTTAAAGTCGATCTTGTTTGCTTGCTTGAGCCAGGCTGGGTCTACACTACAGCGGGGGGTCGACCTAAGATACGCAACTTCAGCTACGTGAATACCGTAGCTGAAGTTGCGTATTTTAGGTCGACTTACCTGGCTGTGAGGACGGGGGAAAGTCGACCGCTGCCGCGCTGCCGTCGACTCCGCTGCCGCCTCTTGCCGCGGTGGATTTCCGGAGTCGACGGCAGAGCGATCAGGGATCGATTTTATCGCGTCTTCACTAGACGCGATAAGTCGATCCCAGAACATCGATTGCCTGCCGCCGGACCCTCCGGTAAGTGTAGATGTACCCCTAGACCCCTCCCGGAGGCAGGTCAGTGTCGCTGTAAGGAGCTCTGCTCTCTCTCTCTCCCTTCCCTCCAGCCTGGGATCACTCACTGGAGGAAAACAGTATTCCCCCTCCCCCCTCCAATCCCGTAGCCAAATCTCTCTGCCGTTTTGGGCTTCAACTCTGCGAGGATTCAGAGCAGAAGGAAACAGGGAACTGCCGGGAGTCTGGGGAGATCCTAAAGAGACAGGGGGGCGGGGGCGTTACAATGGAAAGTGACGCAGAGGGGAGCCGATTTAAGGAGGAGCCGAGAGGGAGAATGAAGTAAATTAACCAAGGGGGGGAAGGGGAAAACCACTTCCTTTTTACTCCATCTTCATTGTTCAAAGCGGCGCCTTCTGCGAATTCTGTATTTCCTGTCCCTGAAACCCTGTGAGGGGGGGACCCCTCCGGAGCTGAATGGCCCCTGAGCACGGCCGCAGTGGGCAGTTGGCAAAGCGCAGCTCAGGTACGTGCCGAGGGGTCAGTCGACGCGGCGGGTCGCGGCTTCCCTCAGTCCTGTGCGCGGGAGCGGAGCTGTCTATTGCAGAAACCTGCGCGGCTCCCGGAGCTGGCGGGGGCGGAGGCAGCTGTCCGGCCGCTGGCTTGGGAGGAACGCCACGAGCGGGAATCCCCCAGCTCCGCATCCCCTGCCTGGTGCTGCCCTGGGTCCGAGCTCCGCAGCAGGGGCGGCGGGACGGCCAGTTCCTCCAGGGGATGGCGAGGTGCCTTTGAAGGGACTCGGGGAGAATGGCGTTCAAGCGGCTCCAGAAGCCTTAGGAGTGCGGTTCCCTGGGGCCCCGTTGCTGCCTGGAAGATGCATGGGGAGTAGGGTGACCAGCAGGGCCGGCTCTGGCTTTTTTGCTGCCCCAGGCAAAAAAGCCGCGGTATAACAGCACGAAACGCAACCCTCCCGTTTTGCAACTGGGTGCGGTTTCTGCCATGCAACGTGACAGTTTGTGAAACAGTTTGTTAACTTGCTACCGCCTGTCCATGGGGTTGCGAATCAGGAGGGATGGGGGTGCCGCTACACCTGGCCGCCCCCCCCCCTGCGGCGGGGGGGGGAGGGCGGCCAGAGCTCCGGGGGGAGGGCGGCCGGAGCGCCGGAGGAGGGCGGCGAGCCCGGCCCTGGCCCCACTCTCCCCGGCGGCCGGAGTGCCGCGCCGCCCCCCTCCAGGTGCCGCCCCAAGCACAAGCTTGGGGGGCTGGTGCCTGGAGCCGGCCCTGGTGACCAGACAGCAAGTGTGAAAAATCGGGAAGAGTGTGGGGGGTAATAGGCTTGGAGGCTTACTGCCTTGGGCTACGTAGACATACCTTTCATATTCTATGTGAGTATCTGGTTTTGTCAACATCACAGTGAGCCTCAGCGCTTGCCTTGATGTTGCAATGTTTGCTGTGACCTCCCAGCATGGATCAATGCAGTGTCAGGCTATGGTTTGCACGGTAGACGTGGGCTGCAGAAAGAGCTGGAGTCCTTGACTTGCTCTGCCTTCCTCTTGCAAATCCCACTGATCTTTAACCAATGAAGCCTCCCAGGATTCTGTGAAGCAGGCCATTGTCCTTATCCCTCATGTACAAATGGGGAGGGAGGGAAAGTCACTCGCTCAAGATCCCCCAGTCTGTGGAAGCTGCCAATAGAATGTCTGGCTCCCAGGCCTGTGTATGATGTCACCTGGTTTAGAAGTTATCACAGGTGCCTCCTGACCATGCATCTAGACTGAGTAGGTGGGGAGGAACTGGGCCCACCCACAGGGCCAGCTTTAGGACCTGCAGGGCCTGATTCGAATACCCGGCAGCGGTCCGGGTCTTCGGCGGCACTTCGGCGGTGGGGGGTCCTTCACTCGGCTCCGGGTCTTCTGCGGCACTGAAGGACCCCACCACCGCCGAAGTCCCGCCGAAGACCCGGAGTGGACCGCCGCCGGGTGAGTAAAAAAATTAAAAAATTAAAAAGGCGCCTAAGGCGCGGGGCCCAATTCCGGGGAATCGGCCTAAAGCCGGCCCTGCCCACCCACTACTCCAGGTCCCAGCCCAGGGACCCTGTAGATCAAAGCCATCTGCTGTGTCCCTTTAACTATAGGTATGTCTACACTAAGAAATTAGGTCGAATTTATAGAAGTCGATTTTTTAGGAAGCGATTTTATACAGTCGATTGAGCTTTAAGTCGGCAGAGTGCGTCCACAGTGCCAAGGCTACCATCGACCTTTGGAGCGTTGCACTGTGGGTAGCTATCCCACAGTTCCCGCAGTCTCCGCCACCCATTGGAATTCTGGGTTGAGCTCCCACTGCCTGATGGGGCAAAAACATTGTCGCGGGTGGTTTTGGGTACATGTCGTCAGTCGCCCCTCCCTTCATGAGAGCAACGGCAGACAATCGTTTCGTGCCTTTTTTCCATGCAGACGCCATGCCACGGCAAGCGTGCAGCCCGCTCAGCTCAGCTGCCGCTGTTCTGTCCTGGGTGTTGCAGGAGTCCACGTACAGGGGTGGGGTAGTTGTAGGGGCACCCCCTAAAATTGCATACAGCTCATGACAGAAGTGGCATGTTCGGGGGTCTGACCCGGAGCAGCCGTTTGCCTCTTTGGTTTTTTGGTAGGCTTGCCTGAGCTCCTTAAGTTTCACACAGCACTGCTGTGGATCCCTGTTATAGCCTCTGTCCTTCATGCCCTTGGAGATTTTTTCAAATATTTTGGCATTTCGTCTTTTGGAACGGAGTTCTGATAGCACGGATTCGTCTCCCCATACAGTGATCAGATCCAGTACCTCCCGTTTGGTCCATGCTGGAGCTCTTTTGCGATTCTGGGACTCCATGGTCACCTCTGCTGATGAGCTCTGCATAGTCACCTGCGCTGATCAGCTTGCCACGCTGGTCAAACAGGAAATAAAATTCAAAAGTTCGCGGGGCTTTTCCTGTCTACCTGGCCAGTGCATCTGAGTTGAAAGTGCTGTCCAGAGTGGTCAAAATGGAGCACTCTGGGATAGCTCCTGGAGGCCAATACAGTCAAATTTGCGTCCACACTACCCCCAAATTCGATCCGACGATGTCGATTTCAGCGCTAATCCCCTCATCAGGGAGGAGTACAGAAATCAATTTTAAGACCCCTTTTTAAGTCAACAAAAATGGCTTCGTCATGTGGACGGGTGCAGGGTTAAATCGATCTAACGCTGCTAAATTTGACTTAAACTTGTATTGTACACCAGGGATATGTCACACAGCTTCTCTAATTCCCTGGGCCACTTCCCTGTGGCTCTGCATGTCTTCACCCTACCTTAGGGCCTTGTCCTAATGGAGTCCCAGCAACCAGCTCGGGACTCCTTCTTGCTCTCCCCAGCTTCTGGCAGCGCAGCCCTGCCCTACCAGGGTTCTGTAGCTCCACCAGCCAGTCACACACCAGCCATACTCCTACACAGGGCCGGCTCCAGGCACCAGCTGAGCAAGCTCGTGCTTGGGGCGGCAGATTCTAAGGGGCGGCTTCCCTCCAATCCTTTTTTTTTTTTTTGCTTCGCTGCTCCGGCCGCCCCGCAGGGTTTTTTTTTTTTTTTTTGCGCTTTGCCGCTCCGGCTGCCCCGCAGGTTCTTTTTCTTTTTGGTTCGCCGCTCCGGCCGCCCTGTGGGGGGGAGCGCCCTGCTGCGAGCAGGCTGCGCACTCCGTCTGCCCCAGCCAGTGCCAGGTCTGCAGCAAGCCTGGCAGGGCAGCCCGCATCCTTCCCTGCCCACTGACCGGAGCGGCGCGGAGCCCTCCCGGCAGGCGGCGCGGCGGGAGGGGCCGCGTGGCGAGCGCCCTGCTGAAGGAAGCCCTGGCCACCCCCATTCTCTCTCTCCCCTCCTGCTCCCTCCCCCCTGCTAGCCAGGGCGCGCACTCCGGTGCCCGGGGGAGTCCCCCTGCACCCTGGCTCCGGCCGCCCCACACATTTTTGCTTCGCCACTCTGGCCGCCCCGCAGGTTTTTTGTTTTGTTTTTTGCTTGGGGCGGCAAAAAAGCCAGAGCCGGCCCTGCTCCTACAGCTCCAGCAAAAAACTCCCCCTGGCCCTGCAGTTCTTATACTAGGCTGCTGGGCCCTGATTGGTTGTGTCCCACACAGCCACTCTAGGCAGCTTGGAGGACCCTCTCCACTTCTTTTTTTGGGGGCAGGACGTGACAGGGCCATGAGGTCTCCAGCAGGGGGCCTCAGAGGGTCTGGTATACCCCTTCACAGGCGCTTTGAGGAAGACACTAATACTGGGGCTTGTGAGCCACTTAACTCATCAGGCTGATGGGTAACTAGGGGGTTGGAGTGGAGCTGTCTGTCTGGACACAAAGCTGGTCGAGGGGCTTCCCTGCACTGTCCCTTGCCAGTGTCCCATTCTTGCATTCTCTAAGAGAGCTACAGGGAAGGGTGGGTTGTTGTGGTGTTCAGTGGAGAAGCTTTGTAGCAGATGCCTTTGGATACAAAGAGCTCTTTAATGCCATTAAGTTCCACTGGGATTTTTTTCAAGCTCCTTCCTTACTATATATTTTTCTCTCTTTTCAAGGGGCAGAGTTGGGCAGTCCCTCATCCTACTGATCCCCTTTTCAACAGATTTGTGTGGCATTTCCCCTTTATTCTGCAAACCTGGGGTGCCAGAAGAGCTGTGGGTCTCCTGTTAGTGCCTGGATTTAAAGTCTTTTATCGCCATCCAATCATGGCAAGGAGACGGTGTTACTGAACAGAATTCCATCCATCCCTTGTAACGTGTGCACCCTGTTGGTTTGAACTGGAATAGAAATCCCAGCATTTTAGGACTTGGGAGAGCTAATGGCCTCTGCCATGGGAGCCAGACACTTGGTGGCTACTGTGGTGCTTATGTGCATATTGCTTCATGAGGCATCTGCTCAAAACCTCATCAAGAACCCCAAGAACCAGAAGACAGAGCACTCGCTCCTGATAAATGAGATCAATGCGGACAACCCGGGGGAAGATACCTCTGAGTTTGTGGAGCTCTATCACACCAGCGGCCGAGAGGCCCCCTTGGATGACTACTACCTGGTCTTTTACAATGGCAACGGCAACCAGGCCTACAAAGTCCTGAACCTTCAGGGCAAAGTCACCGATAATCAAGGGTTCTTTCTTGTTGGGTCTTCCACGGTGAAACCCCAGCCCTCCGTGATCTTGCCTAAGAACACTATCCAGAATGGGCCTGATGCCATTGCCCTGTATTATGGGAAGAGGAACTACCAGGAGGGCATGAGGGTCACCAGCGACGGGCTGGTGGATGCCTTGGTCCATAAGTCTAGGAAGAGTGACAGAGCGGACATGTTGCTCAATGTGCTGACCCCCAACAGGGATGCTTTCCTGGAGGATCCCTCCTTCAGGACCACAGACGAGTCGATAGAAAGGTGCCACGGGGAGGGTTCTCAGTGGATCTTTCAAGTGGCCATGCCCACCCCAGGCAAGGATAATCACTGCATCCCCTCTTCCCAGCTGAATGCTTCTGCCGTGCTAATCAGTGAGGTTCACGCTGTGACCTCTCCTGGGGAGTCTGAATTCATTGAGCTTCAGGGACCTCCTTCCACTGTCCTGAGGGACTTGGTTCTGGTGCTGATCGAAGGACAGACCAAAAGGGTTTATTTCTTCATGGATGTTTATGGCAAAACCTCTCCTGAGGGGCTATTTCTCATTGGTCCTGCACAAGCCAGAACCCCAGGTAGGATTCCACTCTTCAGACTACTGTGAACATCTGAGAGTGGGGGTTATGGGTGTGAGGACAGCAGAGTCTTACTGTCCTCCTGTCATCACTCACCTTCCTCCTTCCTCACTCCCTCCCCCTTGGAGGCGGGTCCCAAATGTGAAAGACCTGGAGGGAGTTCATGATAGGGATTTGATCCCATTTTGGGGACTGTAGAAGGAAGTGTTGTTTGCTTTGTCCGGAGAAGCAGTGCTGGTGAGTGAACTAGGCTCTGCTCCCAGCTCTGTAGCTGGTGACCTTGGGCAAGTCACTTCACCGCTCTGTACCTCAGTTTCCCCATCTATAATACAGGGCTGACACCCTCTTCTTGAGAGATCCTCTAATGGCAACCATTGTGTAAGGGCTAAGTAGTACTTTCCCCACCCACATAAAAACCCCAATCCCCATAATATCAGTGTAGTTTTTTCTCTTTATGAACCAGCTGTGAAGTTACCAGACTAGGCTCATGCTGACTGGCTGGGCTGGGATCTGAACTTCTCCTGGCTTCTGACATTTCCTGTGGAGAAATGCATGGGGAACAAATATGTTACTAAACTTGGCCATCTGAACAGAGGAATCTGGCTGGTGGAGACACTGACTCCGCAGAACATCTTGTGTAACTCTGTGAGTCAGGATTGGTTAATCATCTCAACTTTGGCTACTTTTTAAATAACAGGTTGATTACTTAGAGAGACACCAACATGAAATCTAATCAGTCTAAAACAAATGAGCTAAAAGTAGTTTCAGGTCCTTTGCCTGAATCATCCTTCCAAGTACTGTGGTTTTGTAGTCACGTTTTGGTGTCTCTGGGTCTGTGTGTGTTGGGAAGAAGGATGGTTTAGTGGTTAGGTTGCTGGCCTGGAACTCAATTCCCTGCTCTGCCACAGACTTCCTGTGTGACCCTAGACAAGCCACTTACAGCTGAGATACTGTGCACAGAGAGGGTACTAGTGCTGACCTACCTCACAGGGAGGATGTGATGTGAGGATAAGCACCTTAAAGGATGTGAGATGCTAGATACCACAGTAGTTAAAGCCATATATGAACTTAGGTTTTGTTTCTCTCCTGTACGACTGAGAGAGAGACTCATACAAATGTGGAAACTGACTAAAAAGGAAACTAAAAGTGCTGCTAAATGCACAAAGTTAACTGAAAAAGATGAATGGAAATCTTTTTTTCCACAGTAACTTTGTCCTACTTGTAGCAACAGCAGGTAAAACATTTTCTGACCAAAGTTTTATTAGTTTTTTTTTTTAAGTCAACCATGTCTCTTTAAAACACTAATCATCTATTTCCTCATGTTAAAATATGTTAAAATATCCTCACACCTTCTATGGGTCATCTTGATTATCACTTCAAAGATTTTTTTCTCTCTCCTTCTGACGATAGCTCATCTCAATTGATTGGCCTCTTACAGTTGGTATGGCTAATTCCACCTTTTCATGTTCTCTGTATGTATAAATATCTTCTTTCTGTGTGTTCCATTCTATGCATCCGATGAAGTAGGCTGTAAATTCGTTAGTCTCTAAGGTGCCACAAGTATTCCTGTTCTTTTTGCGGATACAGACTAACACGGCTGCTACTCTGAAAACAGTCCATTCATGGTGTCCCGGTTTTCCTTCAGAAAGACAGTGTTTTAAATTTACACCAGAACCGTCTGTACTTTAATGGGGTTTGAGATCTATGAAAAAGCTAAGGGGATTCAGGCTAACTGGCAAGCTATACTACCTCTGGCTGTGATCTTCTCCTGTCTCAAGCTAAGCAGGGATAGCCTGATAGGATGGGAGATTCCCATGGAATATATTTAATGCTGCTAATTCAGCAAGAGGCTCTCAAGTTAGTATGAAACTAGTTCCCCAGGATAGCAGTAGGAGATGCTGTGCTGCCTGTGGAGATGCCATGTTTCAGGTGAGATGTTGAACTTTTGGCTCATACTTCTTATGGGGGTTTTTTAGTTTGTATTTTTTGAGAGGGGGGCTAAGATTTTCAAAAGGGTAGTGATTTGGGGGTACCTATATTCTTGCCCCCCCCCCCAAAATGAGGCATCTTCAAAGGACCTGATTTTCGGAGAGTAAGCACTTAGCACTTTCTGAAAATCATAGGAGGCCCGCCAAAATTGAGGCACCCAAAATCTCTAGTCTCATTTGAAATCCTGGCCAGTGGCAACTGTAGAGATCTAGGCCCCAGTGCTTCCAAGGTGCTGAGCAACAAATAGAATAGTGTACAGGCCAAATTCCAGCAGAGCAACTTACTAGGGTGCCCAAGTTAGTAGCCAAAGCACAGGACTAGGAATTGGGTTGCAGCCCTGTCACTGTCCCACTGTGACTCTAGTCAATAACTTCAATCCCCTGTGCCTGTTCCCCAGCTGTAAATCAGGGACAGGACTTCCCTGCCTCGTAGGAGTACTGAGGTTTCATTCCTTAATGTTTCACACTTTGAGATTCTTGGGTTGAAAGTGCTATAGAAATATTATTAACATTCTACCTCCTGCAATTTCAATCAGCTAACAAATGAAATAAAATAGTGTCAGTGCCACAATAAGGATGAGGGGGAAAATAAGGAAATGCATCAAAGTTAAGGTTGAACTTTCAACCTTAGTTCTGTCCCCTTGTATTTATGCCTCTAACATATAGCCACTTTATATCACACATTTATACTTAAATATGATAATAGAATACAAAATGGATTTTTTTAAACAGCTTTGTATATAGTGAATTACAGTAAATTCAGCTTTCAGGCTTAGCTTGTTTTGCAGATCTCATTGAGGAGTAAGCCAAGTTTGAATAAAAGCACGTCAGAACTTCTTGTTTCCAATTTTGTGCGTGTCGGTTATCTGATCAGAACGCAGGGGTAGAGTTTTGTCTCCTTATGCAAGTAGAACTCATACAGCAGGACCAGCTCTGCTAAAACTCCCCCACAAAATCCACCTCTGGGCACAGTGATGGATGGGATATTAAAGCCCAAAAGAAAGCTCTTGTAAAAGTTGGAAGTATAAATGACAGGGAAGGGTGGGGGTTAGAGTGAGAGCTAGAAATTGAAATGAACTCTCCCTGTGCTACATGATGTGATCTGCTGCTCTGCTGACCCTGAGCTCTGTTAATTCCCTGCTGAGTTGTTGCCAGTTTGTATGTTTTTAATTCACTGCATCTATTCCAATCTTTCTCGTTCCTCCCTGCGGTGCAGTTGACCTGCCATTCCCACCAAACTCCAGCAGCCCTCTCCTCAGCACTGGTCCCCAAGCCATCGCCCTGTACGTTGGAAACAGCAGCAGTTTCACACTGGGGAAAGCAGCATGTGCTACCAACCTGTTGGATGCTTTAGTGTACACGAGCAATGGGAGTGCAGACCCAGAGCTCCTGGAGATCCTGACCCCTGGGAGACATGCCTATGAGAATAACAGGTGAGAAGGCAGCCCAGTAGGGAGGGGTTGATGGGGTCTGAAAGGACTTTTGCTTAATGGACTGTTTTTTGCTCTTCCAAAGCAATAAGCAGACCCTTGAGAAGGTCTTGGTCACCCGTGAGAGGTATGTAGGGGAGTCCCTGGTAGCAATTGGTTTACTGTATGGCATGAGCTTTCTCTGGTCAAGCCATGACCCATGTGTAACACATCAGGAGGCCTCTCCTGTATGCATGCCCCTTTTCTGTTCAGCCTGATGGTGGCCTCATCACACACCAGCCTTTATCCAGCTGCTTCACTTGCCAATTTCCCCTCCTTGAGCTCAAGTCTAGACTGGAACACACTGGCCCATCTCAACCCCCCAAAAAATCATTGGCTCCTTCCACCAATCTTATGACTGGTATGATTGGATCCATCATCCACCCCATTTCCCACAATCCACTGCTCTCATTCAGAAAGAGACTCTCTAGAGGAATACCATCGACTAAATGTGTGCATCTCGGTCAGTAAGCATCAACGTGGTTAACAAGAGACTGATGGGCACATCCTGGTCTCTGGAAAGGCTAGGGCAGCGAATGGTGGAATGGGCGAGGTGGGGCGTAAGCAGGGTGAGGAAATGGAATGGACAGGGTTGGGTGGACAGGTAGGTAGAAGACAACGGAAAAGCCTCTTGTCTGTGGTATTGACAGAGGAACTGGGATTGAAAGGGCACATCTAATTGACGCCCAGTGTCCTAGCTCCAAAGCTGGAGAAGAACTGTCTCTTTATCAGTGAGGAGGAGGATTCAAAGGAAGAAAGCTGGGACTCTTGTTGAGTCAACTGCATCAGAGCTAGTTGTGATTTAATCCTTGGATTGGGAAATTGGGCATTCCAGACACTTTCCTCCCTCCCACAGTCCTCTGCCCTCCACACGGAGCAGAGTCTGCCTCTAGCCAGAAAGGTGCCCTGCTCTCCAGGAGCAAAGCAGCTATACTCCGTGCAGCCATTTACACTCTGGGCTCCATCCTTAGTCCCTGGGATCTGAGCTGGGGGCTTTGGTCCATGTCTTAATTTTTACCTGCTTTGTTCCATTGTCTCCCACCCTGGCCAGCAACCGCATCCTTAGCTCGAAACTCAGAGATCCAGTGTAAGCATCTCCCTTATTAGGCCAGTTCACTCTGGCCTCAGGTGGCCACTTTTGTTGGCTGGAATTAAGGGAAAGCGCGTGAAAAACAAGGGACAACGCTTTGTTTAAGGGACATTTTAGGGAAACACCATTTCCCTTTACATGTCATTGATTTTTCTCCCCAGTGTACATTTCGACTGCCCTCAGGTATACAATGCAATTATCCTCAGCTTCAATGGAATGTTTCAAATGTCCTTATTGTCAATTTTAATACATTTCAATACTTCTTAACATAAGGGATGGGTAATCACCCTACTCTGGCCAGGCTGTACATCCACTGAAACCCTCCCCCTGGTGGACTCTGCGTAGAGCTGCATCACCTTTGGAGATGGGAGCATGGAATGGAGGAAATGGGTAGACAGTGGCATGCTGGAAGAGAAGGGGTGTGTTGAAGACACTACCCTCTTTTGTCCTGAGAGGTTCCAAAGAGCTCTTGAGTTTCTTTCCAGAAGGCTAGAGGTGATAGAGGAAGGGAAGTCTCTCCCCCGGCTCTTTATTTTGGGTGGGGAAAGCAGATGTATATGGCATCAGCATCAGCTCCTGGTGCAGGCACCTTGCTATTGAGTCAGGAGCACCGACAGTCTGGGTTGCAGAGCATATTTTCTTCTAATTTGTCTCTCTGCCTCTTTCAGCCACCAGCCAGGTAACATGTCCATGAGTCGGTGCAGCTGCTGCTCCGTGACCCGGGACCCCTCCATCTATGCCCTCAGCAGCCCCACGCCCGGACAGTTCAATGACTGCCCCAGCAGCCGCTTCAGCCAGCCCATCTCCCTCTGCCTCCATATAGCAGGTGGGTCCTAGATCCCTTCTCTGCTCCCTGGATCTGAGACCCCCAGGGAGAACCTAAGACATTGCCCTGAAGGGACAAACAGGTGGACATTCTCCCTTTATAAGCTTCAAGGAACTTCAGATTCTACTGTCCATCCTGGGAGGGGCTCAGGTGTTACCAGAGCATCTGTAAAACCGTCAGCAGCAGGAAGATTAGCACAAGGCATTCGGCCTAAAAGAAAAATGGCCTCCAGTCTTGTACAGTGCAGCGTCATGATCACCGAACTCTCTGTTTAGCTCTGCTTCTCCATTGTTCCAGCTTAGGGTACAGACAGGAGCAGGAGGGGAGAAGTGCTCCCCTCCCCCCAAAGAAAATGGGGGCCTTAAAAGGACTATTGTGGGGTCCCATGTTTATTTTCAAAGGTGATACTCAGCCCTGTGTAGAGAGCTGGCACTAAGCCTGTGAGCCACTGAAATCCCACTGAAACCCTCTGGGCTTCACTGGTGCATAAACCCACTCTGCATAAGGGTGGTTTTCATGCCCAATGACTTCCAGAGCCCAACTGCCCTGCTTGCAAGTCAAAAGAACCAGCTGTGTTCTTCCCAGGAATGAAGATTCCACCTGGAGAACTGAAGCTGATAACACCTTTAAGGAGGCTTGAGGCTTCAGTCTTCAGGTCTTATAGTTGAAGTGACTCTGCGGAGTTAATAACATTTAAGCACTTATAATGCTTATAGTGGGTAGCTTGCAAAGCTCTTTACAAAGGTAAAGTTTGGGGGCTGGGAGGAGGCAGCATCATCCCCACTTCACAGGTGGAGAAATTGAGGCCCAGAGAGTCATAGATTTTTAAAGCCAGAAAGAACCAGTATGATCCTCTAGACTGACCTCCTGAACAGCAACAGCCAGAGAACTTCACCCAATCCTTTCCCCATAACTTTTGAAATTCAGCCCCCACCTGGTCCCCCTCATGACAGGCAGGGACACTTGCCACTATGCTCACAAGGAAGACGCCACTAACAAGGAAGGTATGGGGTGGGGAAGTGACTTATTTAAGGTTATGCAGGGAGTCAAGTGGAAGGCGGGGACTAGAATCAAGGTTTCCTAATGAGTTCCCTAGATCAGCCAACCTTCCTGAAACACATGAGAATACAACAGGTGCAGATGTGAGAAGAAAGATGACACCAGGTCTGTCACTCAAGTCCAGTGATTTGCGGGAAAACAGCTGTGTTTGGAACCAGGGAAGTCACACTGACTTTGGGTTCAGTAGTCCATGCAGTGTATGTTTAACCCTGGAGGATGGCTAGTGGTGGCATCTAATTCTTTATGCCCCCATCCTTCAAGAAGGTTTCTCACTCCCTTTCCTCCTAACAAACAAATTCCAGGCTGAACTTCCTGAGTCCCTATGTCCCTGGACTCCATGCAAATTGGAGCTCTATCTGGTCCTCTCGGGTTCTAACCAAGAGCAGGGCTGCAGCTGCTACAGATGGACCAGCAGCAGGGATGCACCGGATGGTGATAACCTTGAACTTTGTGGCTCTTGTTGACCTTTTCAAGTCACTCCCAATCTCTTTGTTTCTCAGATTGCCAGCTGTGGCTCCTTGGGTCATATGAGATACAGACGGCTCTAGCCCAGGCCCTTGACAAGCTGTGCAATTGTGGAATGTCTGTTGCATACTTTAAAGGTGAGAGAGAGGTGTCTCAGATCCATATTGGCTAGGGCTCACTCTCTGCCAATGGGCTATACCTGGCTTCACTGATGGATTTCCACCTCCTATGATGAAACCTATTTTATTTTTGAGCATGGGTGAACTTGCTGCTTGTGGCAACGACTGGTGCTGGCTAGGGCCATGTATGGTCCAGACAGGTGCTGAGCAATAGTCCCATACATAGCTCTGCTAATGCATTTTAGTCCTGACCTGCAGCTGCCCCTGCTATTCCATCCCTGAGCCTTTACTGTCATTCAGACTTGTGTGGTGGGGGTTTCTAATGTAACCTGGCTAAACCCAGGACCCCAGTTAGATTTGCATCCAGTTCATTAGAGAGAGAAAGTCCCAATGCCTTGGCCCCCTTAATCACCCAGTATACAGACACTACAGTAGGGAGATGAACTCAGTACTGTAATACAGAACTGTAATCACCAGAGACTAGGTTTTCTTTCTAAGGCTTCCTCTTTGATGTGCACTGGGGACCACGTTATGACTCTGCCCAAGTTAAACTGTGTGGCAGCAGAGGTACCACTGAGCTTACCTCTTTGTAGTGAACATTCAGACCAGCCTGTTTTTGCAGTAGAACAGGACCATGGAGAGCTGAGCCAGCTGATATGATGCTGACCACAACTCCACCATCAGCATAGACAAGGAGAAGTTGCGTTCAGCTTGTCATGGTTAGACCCTGCTGAGGGTACAAACCTGGCTGCTGTTGGGCAGCTGTCAGAGACTGAAATACAAAGAAGGGGGTAGTGACGAAAGGGTGCAGACTATGTCTGGGTGATCCATGTGGGCTCGATCATAGAACACTCTTCCGGGCTGGTGGAAGGGCTGTGAAGCCCATTGGAAGCTTGCATCACTTCAAATTCTATGGCTAAATTCTACCGCTGGGAGCCAGTCCTGGATGGGAGTGGGGTGGTGGTAGAAGATGTACTGGCAAGCTGTGGGTCGCTTCCAGAGAAGGGGTGGCTGTGGTGAAGCTGATGCACCTCTCTGCTTTCCTCTTCAGATCCTGTCACAACATGCCGGGGCACAGAGCTTGTATTCACCATACTCCTGACTGCCAAGTCAGCTGAGCAGCTGAGCAGCCTGGTACAAGCCTTCACCAGCTTCCTGGAGAGTCCCAGGGCAGCAAATTTCAGCAGCTGGAATGCCACAGTGGAAAAGGCCTGTTCCAAAGATGCTAATGTCACGGCATCTCCTCCAGGTACCCGTCGTCATTCTGATCAGGGAAAAGCAGGCATCTGAAGTCAGACACACATCTCTAGCTCCTTCAGAGGGATTCCTTTCCATGCTAGTTGAGTGGGAAGTGTGTGACATTGCCCTAATTCTGCCCCTCTCCATCCAGTTACTACCTCCATTATACCTTGTTGCCTTGGCTTAACTGGCAAGCCCTAGTGCTGCTGGTTGATGGGGCTGGGGGTGGGCAGGGAATGCTGATGTCTCTTTGGGGTGTGCTGGAGCATTTCATGGAGGAGAATACGTGGCACTTCATTCTTTATCGGCCAAACCCAGAGGCCATGTGTGCCTTAGACATATTCACACCCACTTACTAACAAGTGAGGGGATTGCTGTTGGTGTCACTTGTACCACGAGGAGCCAGAGGAAGGATTTAGTGATACTCCTGCAGTGCCTTGGTGCTTGAGTTACCCTAACTTGGAGTTGGTAGGCTAACATCTTGTACAAGGGGCAGTATACCTCACGGGTGGGTGAGTAGGGGAATCTAGGCTGCAGTAATGCAGGGACGGTCTTCTGTTCCTTGTTTGTATAGTGCCTAATGCAGTGGGGCCCTGAGCCCTGGGAGGGCTCCAGGGGGCTACCCTAACAGAAACACATAAGAGTCAGAGAGAAGAGATGTGCTGGTGATGATGATACCTAGCTCTTACATAGCACTGTCGTCATGTCAGCCTAGATTCTTTCTGTCCATAGATGCCCCTCTCAATTTGGCCCTGTGTCTTCAAAGCAAATTAGAGACACTACCTACCCTTGCCCAGTCCAGGTGCAGCGTTTGCAGGTACCTGGTGGTGTCTAATGGGATTTTGCATACAGTGCTCTACTCTGTCTAGTTGCAGGAAGCAAAATGCAAGCCAAGTCTAGGGTGATGGTATTTTTTCACTCTTAAAGGTGCCTCATCAGAAGGGACCAGTGAACCACCTTCCCATGCAGCCGAGCTGCTCATCAACGAGGTGAATCCGGACAATCCGGGAGGTCAGGAGGATATGGAGTACATCGAGCTGCTCTACACTGGGCAGACACGTTTTGACCTCCGTGGTTATTGGCTGGTCCTTTATAACGGCAAAAACAACCAGGCCTACAGGGTGGTGAACCTGATGGGCTACTGTACTAACGAGCAGGGCTACTTCCTGGTGGGGAGTGCGTGGGTGACCCCAAGTCCTGTGATTGTTCTGCCTCCGAACACCATTCAGAACGGGGGGGATGCTGTGGCCCTCTACCACAGTACCACGTTCACCTACAGCATGGGCATGGCTGTGACAGAGGCAGGGCTGGTGGATGCAGTGGTCTACAAGTCCCGGGCATCTGACAGGGCAGATAAGCTGCTCAAAGTACTGACCCCAGGGCAGAATATCCTGTATGAAGATGACTCCCACAGCAGCCGGGATGAATCTCTGAGCCGGTGTAACAGCCAGAGCCCCAGAGTCCACAGCAGCTTCCAGGTAGGAGACAGGAGCTGTTTGGTCTCCACTGGGTGGGTCTTAGCTGTGCAAGCTGACATATGGCTGGCTCTTCATAGACACTTGTGCCTATTATTTGTGCCCTCTGGGTTAGACTCTCTCTCATTCACACTCCTATTCCCTCTGCTAACCATGTGATGGCTCCACACTACACCTTATCCAAACAAAGGGTTTCAGACTAAGCAGCTAAATTACTGCCAAAAGCTGAGAGGTTGCCAATAAACAAGCACAGATTCAGCCTCCATGTGCTGAGGATCTTAATGAGTAAAGGTGATTCCTCGGCTGACCATAAATGAGAAGGAAACTTGGGTTCTAAAGTTCTGATCCTGAGAAATCCTGGACTACCTCTCTGAACTAGGTCCCAAATGCACAAGGCATCTTCTCCTCCTGAAAAATCGGACACCAAGTCACCTTTAATGCTCCAGCCTCTCTGGTGCATAATGTCCAAAGTGCAGTACGAAATTTATCATCCATGGTACCCAACTTCCTTTCACTTGAAGGAAACATTTAAAGGGATACAGTCAACTGGAATTGATTGAATTTGGTGCCTTTCTTTTTAATCCCTCTTAATTTTAAAATGTCTAGTTTCTGACAGAGACCCCTTTAAGCAGCACACACTGAGTTTTTATCAGATTCCTTTGATAAAGCTTTGTAAGGATTTTCTTTTCCCTTGCTGATGTTTACAAGGGTCTTTCCAGCAGAGGACTGGGCAGGCCCAAAAGTCACACATGTTCTTGAAGCAAGTAGAATGTTCACAGCAGCTGCAAAGAATCTCGCTAGCCAAAAGCACAAGGTCCTGGGACGCTGCCACCTGTAGTTATTGAGGGATTTGTGGAGAGACATCGGAGCCTCTTATTTCAAGCAGACTCAGTACAAAGGGAGGGGACTATGTGGCATGGAGAGGAGATATGAGTGAAATCGTGACCTCTGATGGTTGGGAAAGGAAATGATACGGTGGAAGGAGACTTATCCAAAGGACAGGTGCAGACCCAGCAGTGCAATTGGGGGAAAGATAATGGGGTATCTGATAGTGGTTGTGAGAGATCTCAAATGGGGGTACCCGAAAAAAGATTGTGGGGAGGAGCTGCTGCCATCAAGCTTGAAAGTAAAACCATCCATATCTTGAGCATAGGACATACCTGTGCTGCAGGATCCCATTTCAGGTGGGGAGTCAGATTGCGGTTGTGTGGGACTGGAGAAATCCAATGCTGTGAAGAGAGGTGCCGCCACCTAAAGAAAAGAGAATAGAAAGGATCCCTCCTGCCCTCACAGCCTGGTGTCTCTGTCTCTGCAAGGTGACTACGATAACACCATTCGGGGAGAATGCCTGCACCAACTCCTCAGCACCATCTCCCACCGTCCCCTCCCTCCTAATCAACGAGCTGAGCCTGGCCAACAGCACCGCCCCCTACCAGTTCATTGAGCTGAAGGGCAAACCTGGAGCCACCCTGGGAGGATATACCCTGGTGTTCTTCTCTGGGCAGGATGGCAAAGCATATGCCAGCATCCCACTACAGGGCACGTTCGGGGCCACGGGCTTGTTTGTGATTGCACCATCAGGACCGCCCAGGCCTGGTAAGGCTGACAATAGAGTACTGCATACAGGTGCTTCCTTCACTCCCACGCTGAGTCTAGAGTTGGGTTTTCTTTGGTGGGTGAAGTCCAGAAGGCAGCTTTTGGGAGGCAGATGGCTGGAGACTGAGTGGCTTCAGCATTGGGGGGATGGGTAATGGGCTATGAAGCCTTTGATCTGCAGAATGCTGGTTCCAATATTGCCCATGTCAATAGTGTTTATATGTCAGATGTTTGGTAGCCTATGCAAAACGGACTGATGTTTTCAGTCAAGCTCCTCATGGAGAAGTGTTAATCACCCCACTGAGCAGTCTACCTCAGGGCTGAATGGGTCCTGGAGACAGAATTCTCCTCTTGCCCCTCAGGGGCTGTTGGGAGGAAGCTTGTCTTGATGCTACACCTGTTCTGTGGAGAAACGGAAGGCTTCAGTCTCCAGGACAGCCAATAATCCTTTGACCAGCATTACACTCACATAGATAGACTTGTATATTAAACTATATGAGCCAACACCCTGCAGTGCTGCTGCCCCCATCCTGGCATTTGGAATAGGTGGTGGTTGATGTTTGCATGTCATTTGCATTAATCTTGTCATTTACTTGCCTTAAATTCCTGCTGTGCTGTGTAAAGAGCCTCCTGCTTCTCAGGCCTGGTCTACACTACGAGTTTAGTTCGAATTTAGCAGCGTTAAATCGAATTAACCCTGCACCCGTCCACACAACGAAGCCATTTACTTCGACATAAAGGGCTCTTAAAATCGATTTCTGTACTCCTCCCCGATGAGGGGAGTAGCGCCGAAATCGACATTGCCATTTTGAATTAGGGTTAGTGTGGTCGCAATTTGACGGTATTGGCCTCCGGGAGCTATCCCGCAGTGCACCATTGTGACCGTCCTGGACAGCAATCTGAGCTCGGATGCACTGGCCAGGTAGACAGGAAAAGCCCCGCGAACTTTTGCATTTCATTTCCTGTTTGCCCAGCATGGAGCGCTGATCAACACAGGTGACCATGCAGAGCTCATCAGCACAGTCAGAATCAAAAAAGAGCTCCAGCATGGACCGTACGGGAGATACTGAATCTGATCTCTGTATGGGGAGATGAATCTGTTCTATCAGAACTCGGTTCCAAAAGACGAAATGCCAAAACATTTGAAAAAATCTCCAAGGCCATGATGGACAGAGGCCACAACAGGGACTCAACACAGTGCTGCGTGAAGCTTAAGGAGCTGAGACAAGCGTACCAGAAAGCCAAAGAATCAAATGGACGCTCATGGAGGGAGGGGCGACTGACGACTGTAGCTATCCCACAGTTCCCGCACTCTCCGAAAACCATTTGAATTCTGGGTTGAGCTCCCAATGCCTGAAGGGTCAAAAACATTGTCGCAGGTGGTTCAGGGTATATGTCGTCAGCCCCCTTCCTTCCCCCCCCCCCCCCCCCCCCCCCGCCCACGCGCCCCACCCCCCCCCCCCCCCCCCCCCCCCCCCCCGTGAAAGCAAAGGGGAAAAAATCCTTTCTCGCCTTTTTTCACTGTCACCGTATGTCTACTGGATGCTGCTGGCAGACGCGGTGCTGCAGCGCTACACAGCAGCATCCCCTTGCCTTGCCTTGCGGATGGCAGACGGTGCAGTATGACTGGTAACCGTCATTGTCGTCCCATGGGTGCTCCTTGCTGGCCTCGGTGAGGTCGGTTGGGGGCGCCTGGGCAGACATGGGTGCTCCTGGCTGGCCTTGGTTAGGTCGGTCGGGGGCGCCTGGACAAAAAAGGGAATGACTCCAGGTCATTCTCTTCTTTAAGTTTTGTGTAATGGAGATTCAGTCCTGCCTGGAATATCATACCAGCTGGAGGCTTCTGCCTCAGGCTGCTCTCCCAGTCGGCAGCACCGCGCGGTCGCACCTACCCCAGCCTACCCCTTGCTCCCAGGGCTCACAATCATATACTTAGACCTCTACATTTTGCTGCAAATAAAAAAATAAAGTTGCCGTTTAGAACTGTCCCCCAACATACATATCCTGGGACATTTTGTATTTTACCAGTGTCAACCAAAGGCCCACACACAAATGGAGATTCAGTCCTGCCTGTGCTTTTATCCTAGTACTTATCACAGATTCCCATTTTCAGCTATAGGCTGAGCAAGTGCAGAATGGTGGTTCACTCGACTTCGCTGTAAGCCAACCGCCCTCCCCTCCCCCCTTTGATCTCTGCTTGCAGAGGCAATAAAGTCAGTGTTGTTTCAAATTCATGCATTCTTTATTACTTCATCCCACAAATGGGGGGATAACTGCCAAGGTAGCCCGGGAGGGGTGGGGGAGGAGGGAAGCAATGGGTGGGGTTGTTGTAGGGGCACCCCCTAGAATAGCATGCAGCTCATCATTTCTGCAGGATGTTTGGGGCTCTGACCCAGAGCGGCCGTTTGCCTCTCTGGTTCTTTAGTAGGCTTGCCTGATATTCTAGGCAGGACTGACTCTCCATTAGACAAAACTTAAAGAAGAGAATGACCTGGTGAGTCATTCCCATTTTTGTCCAGGCGCCCCGACCGACCTTACCGAGCACCCATGACAGCAGCAGACGGTACAGTATGACTGGTAACCGTCTTTGCCAACTTGCAAAGCAGCAGACAGTACAGTATGGCTGATAACCGTCTTTGCTAACTTGCAAAGGCAAGGGGATGCTGCTGTGTAGCGCTGCAGTACTGCATCTGTCAGCAGCATCCAATAGACATACGGTGACAGTGAAAAAAGGCTGAATGGGCTCCATGGTTGCCGTGCTATGGCGTGTGCCTGGGCAATCCAGGGAAAAGGGTGCGAAATGATTGTCTGCCGTTGCTTTCACGGAAGGAGGACTGACTGACGACATTTACCCATAACCACCCGCGACAAATTTTTGGCCCCATCAGGCATTGGGATCTCAACCCAGAATTCCAATGGACAGGGGAGACTGCGGGAACTATGGGATAGCTATGGATAGCTACCCACAGTGCTACGCTCCAGAAGTCGACGCTAGCCTCGGTACATGGACGCACACCACCGAATTAATGTGCTTAGTGTGGCCGCATGCACTCGACTTTATACAATCGGTTGCCAAAAATCGAATTCTGTAAATTCGGAGTAATCCCGTAGTGTAGACATACCCTCAGAGATACCCTGAGCTGCTGGGCAGTCTGTGCTACCAGCAGTCAGTGGCTTCATTACAGCTTCAACCAACTTTTAATCACCCCAGTTTCAATTTCTGTTCTTGAGGTTGTGGTGTATTGAAAACAGTGTTAAAATTGTAAGCTGATACTTTAAATTTCAAGGGTTTTTCTGGGTCCTGCTTGCTGGCTAGGAGGCTCTGTACAGAAGCGTGCAATCTGGATCTAGCAGCCGGCAATTTGCAGACAGCCTATAGTAAAGTGGGATGAGTTGTGCCTCTCTTCAGGAAGCAGCCTGCTTTGTCACTCTCCATTTTGGATCTGTTGTAACCTCCCAGCAAGAGTATTAATGGTTTTATCTGACTTCTCTGTGTATATGTCATGAGACATAACAGGGAGGCATCAATGAAATCTGCTTCTCATTGCTCTTGGCTTGTCACTTTGCCCTGCCTACTGTGTCCGGTTGCTCACCAACTTATCCCCCACTGTTTTCAGATCAGCAATTGCCGTTTGTCAAGAATGCCCCATCTGTTAGACGTGGCTCCAGCGCTGTGGCAGTGTACAACAGCCGTCAAGCAAGAATTCCTGTTGACATGATGGTGACTCTAGAGAACCTGGTGGATGCTCTGGTGTACACATGGGAATCTAGCACAGGCAGAGGACAGCTGAACCACCTCGGTCCATCGCACTTTGTGCCCTGTGCAGAGGAGAGGTGAGGTATCTTCTGGCTCCAAACATGTTATGAGCCTTCCATTTTAAAAGTCTCCAGGTTTTCTGTGCCTGGAGGCCCCAGCTGGCAGAAGATGGAGCTACAAGAGCCTTGAGCATTCTACCTTATTACCCTCCAAATAGGAATGTGATGAGAATTGTAGAACTGAACTGGATGATGCAATGGAGAATGTAGTATATGGAACAATAATGCTCTACCAGGTGTGACCTGATGTCTTTTCTCCCTTAGAATACAAAAACTTGATGAGAATGAAGTCTTACATCTACTGATTCAAAGCAGAATGAAGTCATAAGTCTCGACCATCCTCAAACTGCACTTATGACATAACAAATAATAATGGAAAGCAAACTTAAAGAAATTAAAGTAAAGTAAAATGATTCTCAAACATCAATCCCTGATGAACAAGTTCTCTAAAACTTAACACAAAAGAAACCAATAGAATTCTTTAGTGATTAAGTAAAATTTTCTATATTTAAGAGTAATTTCGAAAGAATCTCATCTCTGCTATAGAATTCTATAGGCTGGGTTTAGATTTTTATACACAAGTATCTTATTCTTGGTTTTAAAATGTTGTAGGTATTTTTATAAGGAATATTTGTTGCATTATATGAAAGAACACAAACCATTGTAAAACTCAGAAAATAATTATCAGCTTTGGCTCTTTCCAAACCCATTGGAGTAGTTCTTAAATTTCAGCCAAAAAGTGGGTAAACTCCCACTTCTTGTTCATTGAAATGCTTTGCTGCTTATATATTTGTCAAGGAAAAAGGAGATGCTTTAGAAAAGTGGCACTGAAGTCCTCTGCCTCCTGAAAGGTGTGTTTGAGCCACTGGCCATAAGCCTGCCAGGACTTTCTGAGGCAATTGTTTGTAACTTAGTTATCTGGTTGTCTTCCTGACAATAAAATCTGGCTTGCACTGCTTCTCCTTGTGGTAGAAAAATATTGTCTTTTTCATCATGGGGAGACTAGAAGCACAGTGTTGCCAAGTCTTGCAGTTTTGTTATGAGTCTCTGAGTGGGGGTGAGCATGGATGTGAGGGTGTGTAAAAGTTTCTAGTCCTGGGCGGGGGTGTAGAGAAACACTTGACCACTAAAGGCTCAGAAAACACTCCAGAAGGCAAATGATCACTCCAAAATGAAGGTGTTTTTTGAACAATCTTGTGATTTTTCAAGTCAATCTCATTATTTTTGAACACTGGAGGTTGGCAATATTGGGGTTGTTACCTCACTTCCAACCAGAATCAAGCTATCCAAAGTCAAATAGCCTTCCCTATGGCCAGAGACTCTCAAATATTCTGTTCCCCATCAGGGTCAAGGCAATTCGTTAATCCTGTCTCTGGGACACCTGCAAAAGCTGATTAAAACACCTTCTACAAACATGCCTGTCCTAGCAAGCCATCCGCCATCTTGGATGAGCCTCTCCCATTGGCAGAAGCTGGGATTCTGAAGGGGAGGCCGTGGCTTGAGTGTCTTGAAGAAGCCCTTGAAATGCTGTATTAGTGAGATCTGACTCATTTCTCTTGGGGACAGGCCAGTGTCTCTGAGCCGCTGCTCCTGCTGTGATGTGAGTGCTGCGCTGGTGTATGCCGTCTCGGACCCTACACCTGGCTTGGAGAACAGCTGCCCCCTGAAGTCATTTGCTGTGGATCTTGATATGTGCCTGCTGACACCCAGTAAGAGGAGCTATCATTTCATGTGGTGTGGGGTTGGGGAGAGGCCTGGACTGATTTGAGGGGAAATATTTTTGCTGAGTGTCCCTCCTGATATGGACCAGACGGTGTGGAGAATGAATGCATTAGTTCACCATGTCAGCGTGGACTGTGCTGCACTCAGAGGCGAGCGGGGGTGTGTGCTGGTGATGGGGCCCCATGCCATTCGACCATTGGGAGTGTCAGTCCTGTCACTGGTGGGGTGGTGTTGACAGGCAGGGCAAGGTATTTAATTCCAGGCACCTCTCTGATCAGCCCTCTGTGGAAAGGCCATTCACTTTTCAACAATGACAGGAAATCCCACCTCACGTCTCTCTGGTGATAACTGGGGCATAGTCTGGGGGACCAAAAGCAAACCACCCTGTCCCAGCCCAGCAGGTCTAACTGCTGCAACAGGAACAAAGTGTTTGACATAACCCTAACCACTCAGGTTGGTGACAGCGCATAGGAGAGTGTCCTACAGCCCTGCTGCAGGAGACTTGTCAGGAGCTGGGCTATGTTCAGTGGGTTTCCATGTCTTTGGCTCATTGCAGTGCCTTGCACCCTGCCAAAGAATCCATTATTTGAGCAGAGTCTTAGCCGGAGCCTGCTTGAGGAATGGGTGGAACTGCTTCCCCATGGCTGTTGTCAGACAGCTGCCTCAGTCCATCAGCCAGCTGAGGAGTATGGCTTTCCCCTTCCCCTATCTTGTGCAGTATTCCCAGGCTAGGAAGCTTGGGACTGGAGTTCTGATCCCCTTGCCTGGTCTTGTTTCATTGCTACTAACACCTAGGTTACCATGGGGTAGGGAGCATTCGGTAAAGCTGGCATACAAGTCTATGGAAAACCAGAAAAGAGGCCCACATACAGGCAGAAATATCAGATGTTCCTATAAATTAGAAACCTCCTAGGGGAAAGGGAGTGAAGCTCCTTATGAATTTTGGCATGAGCCCAGCCATTGGTGGTGACACGTGACTGTAGAAAATTCAACTCTCGTCCCAGTCCCTGAATTCAGTGGATCCATAAACGCCATGGACAAACTCAGGCCAATACGAGGAGGGTGGAATCCCCTCACAACTGCTCTGTCATTTTGTCCTCTTCACCCTCTAACTGTAGCTAGTTCCAGGACCTCCCATCCAAGTAGTAATCAGCCCCAACCCTGCCTAACTTCTGAGATCAGACAAGACTGGATGCTTTCAGGGTTATATGGCTGTAGACTAATTGCCAAGGCCAGCTTCACTTTAATAACATCTCCCCCTCTTCCCCTAGATTGCTCTATGTGGACCCCAAACCCTGAGAGGGCGCATGACAGCCTGGAGAAGGTATTAACGAAATCCATAGAGGAAAATTGTGCCTGCGGCATCTCCCAGTTCTATCTACACGGTCAGTACCAAACCCACTCACCTTCATCAAAATCCACTTTATATCGCCCTTCTCCTATTCCCAACCCCAGTGCAGCCCAGCCTACGTACTCTGACTGAAATAAGGAGGATGGGGCACTTTTATCTTCCTGATGTGTTATGAGAGCAATGAACGGGCAGCCATTGGTGATAAAGGAAATGGTCCCTTCCCAAACCATATGCTTCACTTAGAGACCTCTTGCACTGGCAGTCTGAGGTAATTCCTGAGTGTGATAAAGTAGGAGGGTCTGGCCAACACAAGGTGGGTGGCAAAGGAAGTGGCGAGAGGCAGGATCTGCCATTGGGGAGAGGAACATGAGGGAGGAGGAGGGTCTGATGTGAGTTGCTCATAACCAAGAAATGGCCAGTGCTGCAGGGAGGATGGAGAAAACTAGTCTCTTTCCTTTCTGCCATGCTGCAGGAAACACAGGGAGAGTACCTGCACCTCGCAGGAGGTCTGAAAAGTGACCTGCCATTTGTGGCTAACTCCCACCAACTCTAATGGCAGTAAAGCACTGCTACTTGTGCCTTGGGAAACACCCCTGCTCCTAGCTGTTTAGCCTGGAACAGGTATTTTGATATCAGGCTTCTGCTAAATGCCTTCTCTGAACTTTGGCTTGGATTTGGCCAAAACATCTACCTGAACCCAATTTTTTGGTACAACCCGCTCTTGGAGTGTCAGCCCAGAGTTCTGTGCATGGTAAAGCTCATCAGAACTGTGGTGAAAGTTAATGCAATATAACCGGGAGAGGGGCATTCAAAAATCTGTGTTGAATGACTCCCTAAACAAGCATCGTACATGAGCAGAAATGGTCCTATAGACTCTATCCCATTGAGGAGTCCATGAAATAAATTCAAACGCCTAAATGTGCAGAAGAAAAATTGGGTGCCCTCCTTGAAACACCTTAAAGGGGCCCAATTTCCAGATGGTGCGTGCTCAGCACTTCCTGGAAATTGGTCCCTCTGAAGGCGTCAGGGATTGGGCCTCCCCTTAACAGAGGCACCCAAAGTTACTTGTCATATCTGAACAGGTAGACCAAGCCAGCTCTGGAGACATGTAAGAACTATTGCTTTTCAGGAAGTGAAGTACTCATATTTTATTTTGTAAAGCTGGTAACTTGGATACTACTTTCTATCCATGACAGTTTATCAAGATGTATCCCTATTGGCCTTTCTACACTGAACCAAGCAGAGAGGGCACAAAATTGAGCTCGGAATGGGAACCTGATTATGGCCTAGCCTACCACCTCTCCAGAATGAAATCTGAGATGGGCTGATGGGAGGTAGTGCATTGATGGGGCTAGGGGCCAGGGTTTGGGTTTGCGTTTGCGGCACACTGGTTTGGATTTGATGGTGCTGAAATCTCATGAATTTTTGAACCGAGATAGAAATTTTGCAGATTTATGGGGGTGGGGAGGAGAAAGGCAACCCATCCAAACTGAACCTGAATCTCTTCTTTTCCAGCAGAGCTCAACTTCACCTGCACAGACTCCATGTTGCAGCTTTCAGGTCAGGTGTGGGCCAAGTCACCAGAGCAGCAGCATCTAATCCTAAACTGGCACAGGGACTTCGCCGCCAGCCCTCATCCCTTTTCCGTGGATGGGAGAGTACTTAAAACAAACAAAGAGTGTGTCGCTCCAGACAACGCAGTGGCAACGTCACAGAATGGCTGTGCGTAAAGGAAAAATTGGCACAATGATTCGCCCACAAGCTCAAGTGTCCTGGGTCTAGAATGCCAGCTCTGTAGAATATCCATGGTGGATATTCTACAGAGCTGGCATTGAACAAGGATGAGGGGGGTGATCTAAAGCAGGTGACATCTAGACCCTCATCGCCACAAACGGGTCTAGTAGAAGCCAATGGGACCTGGCCCTAGAGAAGTAAGACGATTCAGCTTCTCTGAAGTTAACGGTGATGTGCTAGTCCTGTCACTTCTGTAGTAGTCTTGCAATGTGCAAAACTAAAAAAGACCATGTCTTTTCAGAGAGCAGTGTGAAGGACTGTATGCCTTGCTGGAAGGCACTCTGCTACCCTAGGGTGACCAGATGTCCCATTTTTAAAGGGACAGTCCCATTTTTTGGGACTTTTTCTTATATAGGTGCCTATTACCCCCCAACCCATCCCATTTTTTCACAGTTGCGATCTGGCAACCCTATGCTACCCTGATGATGGGCACGGTCAGGGCTGGATTAACTTTTTGTTGG